GATGTTGAGCATGATTTATGTAGAAATAGCATGTTGTCAAGTATTTGCACGTAAGAGAAATAATAAATGCAGTTTTTAAATAATTGAAAGACAATTACAGACAAGTAAACAAAGAGACAAGTCAGTTTCAAGAAAATAAAGAAATCATAAATTCTTGAAAATAGACAGTTAAATTCAAATAAGGGGAAAAGGGTACGTGGGATAGAGCATGCTTGGACTAATTTACAAAATAAGTTTGTTATGGTAAAAGCCTAAAAATATCCCCAGCAGAGTCGCCATGTTGTCGCACCGCCCCTTTTTTCCCTTTTTGACGGAGAAGTCCGGGTTTTGACATTCATGGGGGAACAACTCGTTTTCTTTTGGGAATTGGGTATTTGAAGAGTCGTCACCTAACGGATTATGGTGCGTTAAGGCACCTAGAGCAATTAACTCATGTAACTAGTTTGCATTACGAGAGATTAGGGTAAGAGATCGAAATAACCTTAAGGGGAAGGTGTTAGGCACCCCTCGCGGTCCACAACGGTGGGTCCTACCCGAACGTGTAAACTATGTGAATTAATCATTTTGACAAATAAACAGTTTTGACACATATTCGCAAATAAAGACATGTTTTGACATTCTAAATAGATGTATAATTTAGGTAATGGAAACAAGGAAGAGGTTTGAACAACTTGCACATGTATAAAGAAAAGGAAGTTCATAGAATTTAAACACATAGGAATTGGGAAAGGGAAGTCCTAGGTTGATTAGCCTACAGGATCATACCCATGCAATGCCCGGTAATCACTCCTCAATAAGGGGCTACACGTGAGATTAGCGCACAGTCATCATATCCTTTCTACCCAACCCCCCTTTGGTCATAGCCTAAAGCATTCTAGCAACCTTAAGATATCCTATGCATGCACCACCCGTCCCTTCCTTGTGGCCCTGGAGGTATTTAGGACCTCTAATTTAGGTAGTTCAAGACCATCCTAAGTTACTTAAAGGAGAAAACTAGGTGAAAACTAAAACAATTAGGACTGAACTAAAGAGAGAATAATCAAAGGCTCACGTTTTACCTCTACACACAGAACAATTAAGTGCACGTCTCAAACAACAGTTTTCAGATATTTAAGAGAAACTCTAGAACAGGAGATCTAGGTGAGCAGAGAATATGCAATATTGAGTTAAAACCAAAGTGTAAAAGAACTTAATCCTTTTGCCTACTGCTTTTAAACTGTTGAATATGAGCAGTCACAAATAACAAGGCGTAGTTTTACAGTTTGCAGAACTTGAGTCGCCCTACAGACTTGCCTAAGCATATAATAGTGATATCCTATGAGCATGGTATCTAATAATTGATCAGGAATGCAGTAAACAATTTTAAACGGACAATTAGGATCCTATATGCATGCTTTCTAGTGATATTAATTAATACAACATTGAAGGAACTAGTAGGTTAGTTAATTAAACTGATTTAGAACCTACAGGCATGATTTCTGTAATTAAAACTAATTTTAGATCCTATGGACATGGTTTCTAATTAAAACTAATTTTTAGATCCTATAGTTATGGTGTCTAATCATGTAAAGTAAAGCAAGCAGAATTTATTTGAACCAAAGCAAAATCCTATAGGCATATTATCTAACAAAACATATTTGAACCAAAATGAATCCTATAGGCATGCTATCAAACGCATTTGAATCGAAAGGAACCCTATAGACATGTTATATACCCAACTTTTCCACAGTATACAACTACCCTCCCTTTTTACTAGTCAGCCCATTATCTGTTTACAATTAATTATTGCAGACCAATGATTGAATAAAAATTACATAAATAGAATAGAAGTTAAGCTATAAGGAGCCTGAAGTAGGCCCAAAGCAAATCCTGGTGTACAAAGCCTTCACTAGTCTCAAATGCCCAAGATTCCATAGCCCAATTCATGTCCAGGTGTGTTAGAGTTCCCTAGGGACCTCAAGGATCCCGGGCAGTGTTCACACCCAGACTTTCCTCAAATAGAGACTGATTATGTGCAGTGTTGAAGAGCCAGCCCTGATATGCCAGAGTTCAAAGAGACCTCAGGGATCTTTAAGCAGTACACATATCAGAGGGGCATGACTTAATGAACTAAGAATAAGTGGGAGTGCATAATTTTAAAAAAGGTTTTGGTAAACAGTGTAGAGAAGGGTCTTAGGAGTGAGAAGGCCTTTTGAAAACCAGTACTAGTTTGGGTAAGATAGCAGTTAGAAAAGCATGAAAAAGAACATCTTGAAATCAGAATACAAGTCACAAAACGAACAACTTCAGAAAAACACTTTGGCAAACAGACTCCACACAAGGAGAGAGAGGTAGGGGACACATAGAATACACCTTAGTGATAGTGGAGCATATAAACAACAAGGTACATAGAATTCTTATGGGGATCTACAGAACTAGTAGGTCATGAAACAAAGATCACAATAGAAACATGTTGAGGGCACATAAGCAACACAACTAAAGTTACATTGAAGAGACTAGATAACTTAGCAGGAGTAAGGCAAAACAGGCAAGAACTTAAATGGACAGGCTAGGCAAGTGTTGACAAGTGTAGACATGCTGATCCCACACACAATTTAGGCATGCTAGATAAATAGTAGACAAACAAGTAAGTTGAGACAATAGTTAGGCAGTGATCTAGGCATGCTGATTACATATGGAGCAACATGATAATAAAAACAAACATGATTGTAAGTCATAACTAATGAACTGAACCAACAAAGAAACACATAGTTTTAGAATTTGAATCGAATCAGGACATACCAGTTAAGGAGAGAATACATATTATAGAGCAGAGATGGTGTAAATAGCTAGCCTTGGCTTACAGCCGGCTGGATTAGTGAGAATTGCAAGTAACAGAAGAGAATAGAGAGATTTTTAGAGTGTGAGAGTATTAATAAACTAATGCTCGTGTCTAAGAAGTTAAAATAAGAGAGTTTATCTAGTAGTTCAAGAGTAGATCAAATAAGGTAAAGTAATCAATAATCAACAATTAAGGGATTTCAGAATCAATCACACAAAGATTCAGCATAGTCTTCTCGTTTAATCAAGGAAAATTAGCCAACGGTAATGTCAGGAAATAATTAAGGCAAGAGATTCAATCTGATTGAGTAAATAAGTAAGAGTCAGAGGCCTTATTAAGGAAATGAGTTCAAATCAAACTAAAATAAAGAGCTTCAGAATAAAATAGTCAAAGATTTAATTAAGGAGAGAATCATGTAAAGAATCAGTAAATATACAGCGGTCAAATAAAGCAAGAACGACTAGTTAAGGTCACAGACATGGAAATAACCAAGAATCATGCACAAAAATTTTAACAGAGCAAATCACTCAACAATTCTGGAAAGAACGTATCAATTCCCATAAACAAATAGGCTGAGTAAAGCTTTTAGGAACATAGAGAAATTAGACAAAAAATAATTCGAAACCCTAATTTGAAAACACTTAAAGAAGAAAAACTTGAAAGCATGTCAACACAAAGAGATTCGAACAAACAGAAATCATAGAAGTCAAAACCTGAAGTATCGTAGTGTTTAAAAAAAATCGGTTAGTGGTAAAGAAGTAAAACAACCCAAAAGAATAGCCACAGAAGTTTGAAAATGCTTTAGATACCCAGAGGTTCGACCAAAAAACTACAAGAGAACAAATCTTAATATAACAAAAAATTGTTTAGAAATCGATTAACCAGTAAAGAAAATAAGGGAATTTTAGAAAAAGATCAGCGATGAACTCAGAATCGCTCCAGATCTATATAGATCTGAACCGATTCAAGTCTAAAATTTAGGTTTCTTGAAGAAAGGAGAAAGGGTAGAGAGAATCTGACCTTTGAATCAAGGATTTGAGCCGTGAGACTTTGATAGAAATCATTCACAGACCATAAACGAACCTTTAAAGAGCTTAAAACGAGATCTGGACCAGATCTCTTCGAAATTCTTCCACGAAACCACACAATCGAGCAACCAAGGGAGATATGAGACAAGTAAAGGCCTCATACATCCATAGAATGCCATAGATCGGACAGGGATTTAAGGGATTAGGGCTGATTTTGGGTGGCAGCGGCTAGGGTTAGGTTTAAGTCTTAGAAAGAACGAATAGGAGAGGGTTTCAGGGTGGTTGTTTGGTGAGAATGGCCAGGTTTGGGGAGGGGGGGATCGTTTGGAACTAAAAAAGGAAAGGGGCAACTGTGGCCATTGATCTCTATGATCAACGGTCGAGATTGATAGGATTTGGGGTCGGGTTGGACATTATAGGTTTGGGCTGGGTATATTTGGGCTGGTTTAATTGAATTGGNGGGGGGGGGGGGGGGGGTTAAAATTGGGCTAGGTAATTAGGCTAAATCTGAAATAAGAGGGCCATTTGTTAAATACCCTATTTAATTGATAAAATAATTTTTAAAAGTATCCAATAGGCTGTTTAAAAATGATTTTCATGCCTGGAAATATTTTAAAATAATTATTTAATATTTAAAAAATATAAAAGGCTATTTTCTGATAAAATAATGTAGTAATGCGTGTGTGAGCTATAATTGCAAAGTAATTATAATTGCAGCCTAAAAATACAAAAGTGGGTATTTGTGCAACAATTGAAACTTAGTACAAATGCAAATGATAAAATTAAGTCATAAAAATTATTATAAAACTGTTTGTGATGCAATTGTGATTGTTTTATAAATAAAATGCTTGGAGAAATTAGTTAAAATATTTTAAAAATGCAGAAATTATATAAAAATACTAGTTGATGCCAAAGCATAGTTTTGAAAATATTATAGGAAAAATTGGGTATCAACAGGTATATTGACGGGTAAGTCTATAAGGCTGGCGAGGATCCTACAGAAGATGTTGGTCAATATAGCGTGTGTCCAAGAGACTCGGTGGGTCTGATCAAGGGCGAGGAAGGCAGACGAGTATAAGTTGTGGTACTCTAGAGTCCTGAAAGGTAAGAATAGTGTAGGCCTTTTGGTGGATAGGGAACTTAGAGAGTATATGGTAGAGGTTAGGCGGGTGAATGATAGGTTAATGTCTATTAAGTTGGTGGTTAGAGAGTGCACCCTAAATGTTGTTTGTGCGTATGCGTCGCAAGTAGGCTTGGATGAGGAGCTCAAGAGGCGCTTCTGGGAGGGGTTGGATGAGATTTTGCATAGTATTCCGCCTGCTAAGAGGTTATTTATAGGAAGGGATTTTAATGGTCATACTGGGTTGACTACATGCGGCTATGGCGAGGTGCATGGTGGCTTTGGTTTTGAGGATAGGAACGCAGGAGGAACTTTGCTGTTGGATTTTGCAAGGACATTTGAGTTGGTGATGGCTAACTCTAGTTTTCCAAAGAGGGAGGAGCATTTGGTTACTTTTTAGAGCACGGCAGCGAAGACTCAGATTGACTATCTACTCCTTAGGAGGTGTGACAAAGGGTTGTGTAAGGATTGCAAGGTTATCCCGGGTGAGACCCTCGTGATATAGCATAGGCTCTTGGTGATGGACGTCGGTATTATGATGAAGAGGAAGAAGAAGACTGCATGCGGTTGACCGAGGATCAGGTGGGGAGCCTTGACTAAGGATAAAGCTCATGAGTTGGAAGGGAGGCTATCGGTCATGGGAGCCTGGAAGAGTAGTGGGGACACGAGCGTTATATGGTCGACCACGATGGATTATATATGGGAGGCAGTGAGAGAGGTGTTGGGAGTCTCGAAGGGTTTCACTGGCAGGTACAAAGGCGACTGGTGGTGGAATGAAATGGTCTAAGGTAAATTGGAAGAGAAGAAGGCGATGTACCTGAAGTTAGTAGGGAGTGTATGCCGGGTTGAGAGGAGTGCGAATAGGGAGAGGTATAAAGTAGCTAGGAAGGAGGCAAAAATGGCGGTGACAGAGGCTAAAACTGTAGCTTTTAGTCGTCTATACGAGGATCTAGGGGCCAAAGAAGGGGAGAAAAAATTATTCTGGCTGGCTAAGGTGAGGGAGAGGAAGGCACGAGATCTGGATCAAGTGAGGTGCATAAAAAATGAGGATGGTAGAGTATTGATGGGAGAGGTCCTGATTAAGCAGAGATGACAGACTTACTTTCATAAACTTCTAAATGAAGAAGGGGACCATGATATTGTACTAGGCGAGTTGAGGTGTTCCGAGAGCCACCACGATTTTGGGTACTGTAGGCGCATCAAGGTTGGGGAGGTCATGGGAGCTATGCGAAAGATGAGCAGGGGAAGAGCTACCGGGCATGATGAGATTTCGGTAGAAATTTGGAGGTGTGTGGGTAGAGTAGGTCTGGAGTGGCTGACAGGGTTGTTTAATGTTATTTTCAGGACGAAGAGGATGCCAGACGAGTGGAGGTGGAGTACAGAGGTTCCGTTGTACAAGAACAAAGGTGACATTAAGAGTTGTAACAATTATAAGGGTATCAAACTATTGAGTCATACCATGAAAGTGTGGGAGAGGGTAGTATAAGCAAGGGTAAGGAGGACGGTGTCTGTATCAGACAACCAGTTCGGGTTCATGCCGGGTCGTTCTACTAAGGAAGCTATCCACCTTATTAGGAGGTTGGTGGAGCAGTACAAGGATATGGAGAAAGATCTGCACATGGCGTTTATTGATCTGGAGAAAGCATATGGCAAGGTTCCTAGAGAGGTTCTTTGGAGATGCCTAGAGGCTAAAGGTGTGTTGGTTGCTTACATTAGGGCGATTAAGTACATGTATGATGGAGCTAAAACTCGGGTTAGGACAGTGGGAGGCAACTCTGAGCATTTTCCAGTTTTTATGGGGTTACACCAAGGATCTGCGCTCAGCCCATTCCTGTTTGCTATGGTGATAGATGCACTGACACACCATGTTCAAGGAGAGGTGGCATGGAGTATGTTATTCACTGATGACATTGTTCTGATTGATGAGACGCGTAGTGGCATTAATGAGAGGCTGGAGGTTTGGAGACATGCCCTTGAGGCTTGGATCGCAGGTCATTTCTAAGAGAGGTAGTTTCAAGTACCTTGGGTCAGTTATCCATGTGGGTGGAGAGATCGACGAGGATGTCACACACCGTATAGGGGTGGGGTGGACGAAATAGAAGTTAGCATCTGAAGTCCTGTGTGACAAGAAAGTGCCTCTGCTACTCAAAGGAAAGTTTTATAGAGCGGTGGTTAGGCCGTCCATGTTGTATGGGACTGAGTGTTGGCCAGTTAAGAACTCACATACCCAGAAGATGAAAGTAGCCGAAATGAGGATGCTGAGGTGGATGTGCGAGCACACAAGGATGAATAAGATTAGGAATGAAAATATTCGGGAGAAGTTGGGCGTGGCTCCTATTGATGACAAGATGCGGAAAGTGAGACTCAGATGGTTCGGGCATATTCAGAGGAGGAGCTTGAATGCCCCGGTAAGGCGGTGCAAGCGGTTGGCATTGGTGGAAATGAGGAGAGGTAGAGGGTGGCCTAAGAAGTATTGGGGAGAGGTGATCAGGTGTGATATGGCGAGACTTCAGATCTCCGAGGACATGGCACTCGATAGGAAGCTTTGGAGGTCGAGCATTAAGGTTGTGGGTTAGGAGGTAGTTGAGCATATTTAGTCTTCCAGTATGAGGTTAGGCTGATAGGATTTAGTCTTAGACTACTAGTGGTCAGGGCTGTGTTTACACTACTCTTCCGTTTTCATAGTGTCGTGCATTATTTACTGGTCATTATTTCTTCCTTTCATCTATTCACTGGTTCTTATGTTGTGTTATTATTTCTATGATGATACTGATATATTTTCTCGTTTTATCTTTTTGTCTTCTTGAGCCGAGGGTCTATTGGAAATAGTCTCTCTACCCCATTAGGGTAGAGGTAAGGTTGCGTCCACACTACCCTCCCCAGACCCCACTCGTGGGACTATACTGGGTCGTTGTTGTGTTATACTTTTTTTGGATATAGTTATATACACTGGTAGTTGAAAATTATTTTTATGCTATTAGTGAATTTCAACTTGTAATATCAAGTTATATAGTTATCAATTTTGTCATGTTACAAATTAATATTATCATAAAAATAGCTTGATTATGTAAATATTTGGATACATTGGGACCTCGACTATTTCCTTATATAATGCTCTGAAATAATGAAGAATGTCTATCAAAACCAATATGAGTATTTAACATGCAATGACTCATAATCATCGGAGATTATTCAACTAGAAATTGCCTTTTAGAATATACGGCAGTGCAGTTCACTCTCATGCTAGACCTAAAATTTGTATAGCATTATACACTTTACAACTATGGACACATATCTGCAGTTACACCAACCTAATATATTTAAAATTTCACTAGAATTTAGAACCATGCATGGAAATCTTGTTGTCTATTTTACTCTTAACTTCCATTGGTTCATTCATATATAGTTTATACAAACATTATATGCTTGTATTCATCACTATATAGTTACCTTGTCCCTCAAGATTCTCTGTCAACAATTGGGGTGAGCCTGCAAAAGTATCATTAATCTCTGTCAATAAAACCTTTTTGAGCAACTTGGGAACTATTCCCTCCGTTTCAAATTTGTCTCAATGTTTGACTGAGCATAATAATTAAGAAAGCAAAAAAGAAATAATATCACATAAACTGAGACAGATGGAGTACGATATTGATAGATCTCAAGGTACCTGTGGGCGCTTATCGGCCTCGCTGGAGCTGGCTGTCCTGACTTTCAACTCTCCTCTACTGGTCGTAAGTTCATCCAAAATCTCAGCATCCGAAATTTCAATTTCAGCTTCTTCAATTCTTGGAAGAGTTGCCTCCGTTTCCTAATAAATTTGATAGCATATATATAGATTTATTTTAAGACATGAAGATAATCCAAAATGAATTAGGCTAGGAGACAAGACATACACTGAAAGAAAAGCTAAGTGCACGTTGTGGAGAACCAGCAATTTCCCAATACTCAGTTGCATCAAGCTCTTGCAAATGATGAGGGTGGAACAACTTGGGAAGTAAATGCTGCCTTATGCTTATGAGAATAAAGAATGGCAATGGGAAGAGAATGCCAGCTATGGGAATCCATGTGACTCCAAAGCACACAAGTAAGAACACAAATTGGAACACCGTGAATATTGCGATGTATTTGAATGGTACTGCCTCCACAAAAGATGCATGCATCCCTTCTAGGACCCTGCAACCATCATGGTATGTTTCGAGAAATCACATAATTTGTCATATCAAGCATGTCATGACATTTCTGTAGCCACAAAAGCATGTCATTAAAGGTAAAATAAAAAGTAAAAAATTAAATTATTTTTGAATATAAAAAAATATTATTCTTGTTGGACCAGACAGAAAAAGGAAATAGTATTACGTAAAAAGGACTAGAGGGAGTAATTACTTCATATATCAAAATGAATGAACTTACTTAAATCTCCTGCCAGGGGTGGTGAAGAGAAGCAAGATTCTTTCCCATATCCAGTTGTTTCTCCCTTTTATTTGTCTCCTCCCCATTATTACTTTTAAATGCTTTACTTGTTATTTCTCTTTCTTTATGTATATATCTGTATACGTTTTTAGTAGGTGTTTTGTCTTAGCCTCGTTACTACTTCATCGGGGTTAGGATCGGCACTTACTGAGTACATTGGATAAGTTGTACTCATACTACACTTCTTTACTTTTTGCGTAAATTTTGACGTTGGTACCAGGGAGTTCCGAGAGACACTTACCGGATACCGTTCGCAAGCCCTAGAGTCTCTTTCCTAGATCCACTGTACTATTTCCATTTTATTTCGGGCGGTGTTGTATTTCTTATGAAACCTTGTATTTAGATGGATCTAGACGTTCTGTACTTATGACACCAGATTTTAGAGTGGTTTATGTTATGCTATTGATCAGTTGTTAGAAATTTATTATTTTTCTTTATTTTGTATTACATGTAGTGTTGGCTTGCCTGACATTCAATGTTAGGCTCCATCGCGGCTCTGCTGTTGGGATTTCGGGTCATGACAAGTTGGTATCAGAGCACTAGGTTGCCTAAGTCTCACGAGTCATGAGCAAGATTAGTAGAGTCTGGAGGATCGGCATCGAGACGTCTGTACTTTTCTTCTAGAGGCTATAAGGCATTAGGAGATTTCACTTCTCTCTTACTTTGTCGTGCGACTTTATTCCATTGCTGAAGTTTGAATCATTTTATTCTTGTTCTCTCACAGATAGTGAGGAGATGCACAACCTCTAGAACCGATCATGAGCTGGAGCCCCATGTCGCTACCACTATCAGGGGTAGAGGCCAGGGCCAACGTAGGGGTAGAGCTCATCCTAGATTGCGCGCAACATCACCTATTACGAAGCCTCAAATAGGACACGATGCGGAGGTTCCTATTTAGACCGAGCCAGTTAGACCAGCGCAGGTCCGGTAGGGGTTCATTGCTACCTCGGTACTTCAAGATGCTCTAGTTTGCCGGGTGAGCCTTATAAAGTGTGGCACAGGCCAGTGTGATCCCTATGGAACTAACCGTCTCTCAGACTGGAGGAGGAGCTCAAAATCTCTCTACTCACACACCAGAGTAGATGGCTCACAGATATTAGACTCCGACGATTCTAGAAGTTGGAGCAGTTCAGGACGTTATTGCTACACGATCTAGGGAGTGACCCGTGATGTCTTCCAAGGGGCTGAAGAGGTTGGACGAGTTCACCAAGCTATTTCATATTCGTTTTGGTAGTACACTTTCTGAGGACCCACAAGATTTCTTGGAGCGTTGCCATGAGCTATTGCGCAACATGGGCATAGCGGAGTCCAATAGAGTCAACTTCACAGTATTTCATATGCATGGATCTACCATGAAGTGGTGGCCAGAGTATGCTCGAGGAAGAAATGCAGGTTCACCTCCACTCACATGGGATCATTTTCACAGCTATTCTTGGAGAAGTTCATCCCTTTTACTCTAAGAGAGGACTACCATAGTCAATTTGAGCGCCTCTAACAGGGTAGAATGACTGTTGCCCAGTACGAGACCAGATTTGTGGACCTATCTTTCCATGCAGTTGTCATGATCCGTAATGAGAGGGAGAGGGTAAGGAGATTTATATATGTACTTACTTATGGTATCATGCTACATATGGCCAGAGAGACTAATGATGATATTTCTTGCACGTGAGTTATGGAGATCGCTAGACGGATTGAGAGGATTCGTGGTCAGGGTAGAGAGGCAGTATTTGAGAAGAGGCCTCATTATTTTAGTGGTTTCAGTGGTGCCTCATTTGGAGGAAGGTGTTCATTTGGTAAAGGCCATCCCAGCAGGTTGATTCAGTCAGTGCCTTAGGTATCACATGGTGCTTCAGGAAGTCATGGTTCTTATGGGTCTCATCCTGAGTAGCTATCATATAGCATACCCTCCGATTAGTGCACCTCCGATTTAGAGTTATCAGGGTAGTTATTCAAGTCGACAGGGTGAGTTTCAAGGTTAGCAGTCACTTCAGCCGAGGGCTTGTTATACCTGTGGAGATCTGAGGTACGTCGTGAAGTTTTTCCCCAAGTCATAAAAAGACATGACACAACAGGATACTCGTTCCATGGTTCCTACACTAATTTCTCCATGGCCGCTCAGCCAGCTAGAGGTAGGGGTCAGGCAGCCCAGGGTGATCGAAAGCGTATTTTTAGAGTTTTGGAGTTCTTAGGCTTGAATTTGTGGTTGATTCGCCATTTCGATGTTGTTTTAGGTGTTTTAAGAATTGGTATAAGTTTGGACAGGGGTATTGGACTTGTTTGTGCTTTTGGTTGAGGTCCCGGGGGACTCGGGATAATTTCGAGTGGTTAATAGGAAGTTAGAAAGTTGGTAATTGTAGCTGAAGTCTTTGGGATGTTGTCATAACTGCATCTGCGATTGGTAGGCCGCATATGCAACTACCACAAATGCGGAGTTGAGCCGCAGAAGCGGCTAAGAGGAATTTGAGAAGGGACCGCAGAAGCGATAGGATTACTGCACCTGCAAGACCGCAGATGCGGCACCTGGGTCGCAGGTGTGGAGATGGAACTTTAAGTGAGAAATGAAGAAGCGGTTCACCAACCGCAGAAACAGTATTGCAGATGCGATGGGTGGACCACAAATGTGGGATTACCGGGCAGAACATATAAATAGTTTCCTTCGCGAATTTGAGCTATTCTTTCACCATTTCATCCGGGAAGTGAGCTTTTGGGGAGGTTTTTGAGAGGGAATTCAAGAAAACTTCGAGGAGGCAAGATTCTTGGAACCTAAACTCGTTAATGAGGTGATTTTTATCATTATAAACGTGAAAATTTAAGGAAAATCAGTGGTAAATTTGGGGGTTAGGGCTTGACTAATTAGAGATCTTTGAGTGATGATTTGAGGGACCATTTGAGGTCCGATTTTGGTTTTTTTGGTATGACTGAACTCGTGAGAGTGTAAGGATTCTGGAAATATAAATTTTACTTGATTCCGAGAAGTGGGCCCAA